TAGAATTTGCTTACTTATGCGAGTCCTTATAAACACTTTAAGTTGGTGTGTTTTTTAAATACTTTCAAAAACATGTAAAGTTAACCAGTCATCCAATGTTTGCTACAGCACGCGCACAGATATCGACAGTAAACCCTTAAAAAGGGCTAGCGTTTTTCTGGTAATTTGGTGTGTCTTTATATGGTCAAACTATCTATTATACTATTACTATATTTAGGAACGTTCGACTATAATGGAATAATCTGCTGCTTTAGACAAAATCAACGTTTATCTCTTTTTAATTAGAATACGAATAAATGCTGTGTCTTACGTGCTACTCTGACTTCATCTTTCCCTATAAACCTTCATTCTGTAAGAGTCCCTTCTCCTCCGATGTGAGGTTCGTGAGGGTCTGCACCATATCGACCGGAAGTCGGAAGGTGATGATGATGCTTCGATACGGTTTTATACCGCTAAGGTGTACTAAATGAAGTGGTACCCTTACAAGTTTTGACACCAGGGCCTGGAGTCTACTGATTTCTCGTCCACTGGTATCCGTACCCGAAACATGGAAATATACATACTGGAAACCTGGCACTGTAAAAATCAGATGACGTAATGTTGACTAGCATGTAAATAGCACGCATTAAATATAAAACCCTTCATAAATATTGTAAAAAAAACTTAACTAATCAAAAAAAGTTTGCACGCGGAATGTGTACTTTTACTCGTTTGAAATCTTCTTTGAAAGAGAAACAATGTGTTATATTTCATTAAGGTAATGCATATTAGTGACTATGAATTGCAGCTCTTCATCAATATTTGTATGATGTCGTCTTCCATTTTTAACAAGATGGAAAGTTCTACCCATATTTTTTTTCTTTCAAATTACATATTTATGTAAAAATGACGTACTCAAGGGCTCTTCGTAAGTGAAAAAGTTCAATGGCTCTAATTCACAACGTTTAACAAATTCCGATAATTTCTAATACAATGTCCTCCTTTTCTTTCCAAGGTTCCACAGCATTGCTTGTAGGAATAACAGGTTGCGTCGGTCGAGATAGTTCTGGCGTCTTAGTATTTTAAAGAAATGGAGGCCACTGGTGATGGTTTCAAGGACCCCGGTAGGTATTCCCTCTTCTCCTGTAAATATTATAATTTATTATTTGTCATCAACACGAACATTGTTAAAGTCTGCTTCATGGTGAAATTATCCAACATCAAGAATGTCGACACAGATCGATGTGTAATGTTTTAATACATTTGAGTTATATAAATATGTTATAACATATATACGTGTATTTTACTCTTTTGATACATGGCAGACTTGTACTTTATTTGATTTATCCTTTCATTGAAACACAACGAGAGGGCTTGTATAGGCATGACGCCTGTTGTCCAATTCCTTTCGAATTTATATAAGATGCAATATTCAAGAAAATCTTTGTGAAATGAAAAACTGAATCACAAAGCCCCTTAAACCAAAATTAGAACTATCTGTTTACGCATAGTAGAAAGATACGCGTTCACATTTGATTTTAATTCTATTCTACAAATATAAACGTAAAATATTCTAACCAGCGCAGAAATTCTTCATCCTGTCGACATCTTCCTCAGTCATTTCCTGTGATATTTCGTCCAGTACGAGGTTTAATTCCCAGTCCAGTGAGGGGAGGTCACTTTGGAGATCGTACTTGTCTACGGAGCTGCCTTCGGCTGCCACTAGTTTAAAATAGTTAATTACATATACCATCTACATGTTGTTCTCCTTTGATTGGAATGTGATGTCTGTGTAGTCTGCCATTAAGTTTGGTTATCCGTGTCAGGTTTATAAAACTATTTACGCCACGCTTTACTGTATATCAGAACATCGCATAAAACATAACAAACCGTCTGTTTAAAAGCATGCATTATATACAAAATTTATATAAAAAGTTACATGTGAATAGATTGGTGCATTTCTCCTTTCCCAATAACTAGTAAATATATATAATATTTCATACTCAACAATGATCAAATGAATGTTTAACTAATCTACCACATTGTATTACACTAAGACAATCTAATTCGAAATTAATTAATTAAAATTAATTAACCTCAAGACCGCTCTGTTACCTACACTGAGCGTATAGGTAACGGAGCAGTTTTTAGAGGTCTGATTTTAATTAGATTGACACTAAGGTAGCTGAAAGTCATACTGTCTAAGAAGATTTAGTTCTGCCCATTAGCATTTCACGCCTTTATTTCTTTTAAGGAATGCTGATTATAAAATTGCGTCACTTACTTGCGGAGTTGGCTTCTGAAACCAACTAGAAATATATCAATCCATTTGTGCCACAATATATATCTGAAACAGTAAATATCGCCACATATGGAACAAGTAATAAAATATGCAACAAGTCATAATGTCTCTCTCGCCACATGTTGAACTAGTTATTATGTCTCTCTTACCACATGTGGAACCAGTCATGATGTCACCACATATTGAACCAGTCATTATGTCTCTCTCACCACATATTGAACGAGACATGATATATCTCTTTCCACATATTGAACAAGACATGATGTCTCTTACCACATATTGAACGAGACATGATGTCTCTCTCACCACATATTGAACGAGACATGTTATCTCTCTCACCACATGTGGAACCAGTCATGTTTACTGATTCTTTGTGTATATATACTGGTGATCAGTTGAAACGTTTTATATTTGTTTGGTTTGGTAGTTCAACATACTATTACACATAAACCGTGTTCTTTTCATTAGGGGGGTAACGTCATCATTATATATGCTGACCTTGTAATTCTTATACCCTGGCTTGAATACAGATAAATATTGATATTCTGTCGTAGATAAAAACAGCGTCAATAATTGTTGCTTGGGTAAAATGTATACGGACAAATCACTTCCTAGCTACAAATATGTATTAATGTACGTCATCCGTAGACACTATAGAAATCTGTACCACTGGGGATGATTAACTAGTCAATGATAATTAGCTAAAATATATGTGGCTATATTGGAGACCAGATCAGATATTTTTATTGGTGATTTTATTGAAGTACCAGTGTTTTAACAGAGGGTGTATATATCATCAGACAATAAGGTGTAGTTTACATACATGGTTAGAAATATAGAAATGGATGAAATTTCCTTGTATTTAAAGCGATAGCTCCAGAATAGTCTAGTTTTCTTTTATTTAACAAGTGTTGATAATATGGTGACATGCACAATTTATATACTTTTATATTATTTTTTTGTCGGGAAATTTTAAAATGTAAGAACATTTGGTCTGTTTGGCAATTACCTTCACATAGATTAGTACAACAGCCATCGTGTGTTATCGGGTTTACATGTACCTCGACACGAATACAACATGTAATCCCACTCAATAACCTCGATGTTTATGTCACATGACTGACTATTTTATTATATTTTGTGTTTTGAATATGTCAAAAGAGAGAATGTTACAAAATCGATTGCAAGGCCCTCCCAACCAAAACACCACTTGTAGTTACCCACCACAGCTATCAAAAATCATTTGTTAAATCAATTATTCTGATAAGGAAACCCTCGGCTTCATGTTGGAACACCCTCGTCATTCGGATACACCACTACCTTAAATTTATCTATACTAGCGTAAACAGTTTAACTGTTAATACATTTGTATGCAATTTCTATAGTGATAATATTGAACAGGTAGTTCAAGATCTAGCTAAACAAAATATCTCAAATATATATATATGCATAAAAGCTAACCACAGTTTTACTTCCCGGTTTACACATACTGTATCTAGGTCATCGTATATGTAGAAAAAATACAAGAACGAAATTTCGTCGACGACCAAAAAACCTAATGTTAGTTAAAAACAACATCGGCAAACGAAAAATAAAATAAAAAATATATCACCATGTTGGTATAGATACATTTATATTATTTCAAAAGACTTCATTCTGATATACCTTAGCTAATCACACAAGGTATTTGCAGTTGGTGAGATTCGATCACTACGAAAGGAACAGAAATATATAATTAACTACACCATGATTTCTCAGTGGTCGATCAATCAAACAAATAATTGTGTGTCTTAAGGTAAAGTAATAAGCGCAAAACACTTACCTATCAGTCTATCACTGGCGTCCATCGTCCATCAGGTGTTACCGGGTTGTGTTATTAGTAACTGCATAAGAGTTAAATAATCTATTTTTAGATTCTGAATAGGTGCAGTCATATGTGTAAGCATGGCGTGTGTATTGCCCCAGAGTTCCCAGTATTACGAACGTATCCTTTTGTGGCAAAGGCTGTCATGTGTATGGTAATTATTGTCTCTATTAAATTCTATGTAGTTCTACAAGAACAATGCCACTCAAAGCGAACCCCATTGTAGGGATACAAACACAGGCAGTGATTTAGTGATTTATAAAATATATAATGCATTGCGCCTGCATTCTATATAATATGATGGGTAAATCTGTTTAACCATTTATACTTTTGGAAACGTTGGAAAAAACCATATTTCTCCCAATATTTGAACAAATAATCTACGGAATTTGTCACTCTTAACATAAAAACACCTTTACCGGGGAAAAAACACGATTTTTTTCGAAGTTATTAGTGAACTTTGATTTTTTTTTTAATTTATATTGTTTTAGTATACTCAAGTCGTTTGGTCGTACTGTATCGGCAAGCACGTGTAGCTCTGGATAAATGCTACCATATCTGTAACTATGACAACTTCGGATCAAATAGGGTTTGTTTGCATTCAATATACTTCGAGGTCCCCAAGTTATTCCGATGAATTATCTACACTGCATTTTAGTATATATTATTGGAATATCGTTCAATTTATTTTTACCTTTTGGACACCATCCCATTTTTTAATTAATGACGATATTTGGTCAAAGGAAACATGATAATTGAAGAACTGATGTAAGTATAAAGCCTGTTTTAGTAATAATTTTTCTCACTTATTCTATAAAAGACTGTTTAAACCAAAGAAAGCATGATAATTAACTATCGCCTTTGGGTAGGTTAGGAACTAATATATATCCAGGTATATCAAAATGTCCACGTATACCGATACTAGTATTATTATTTCAATATGGTTTTTTAATAAATATCTTGCTTAATTTATAAAATGTATACCATTGTAAAGCTACCATTTGTCTAGATACTGTGTGTGAATGTTATTTGAAACCTTGTATCTGCAAATAACGCGCGTACGATGCATTGTCAGAGGACAAATATTGATTAATTCATGAAATAGTCAAATAACATTTCATACATGATTAAGATGTTGTTGTTTTTTTTAGATCTTTGCACCTAGAGACATTTTTTGTTACAAAAATTACAATTGCAGAATTATGATCATCTTTTATTTTGTGGATTAAAGATGGTTATATTTTTAATCAACACTCATTATTAGAGTTGTCAATGGTTAGCCGGTTAGCTGGTTAACTGGTTACTCGGTCGGAAGACCACGAACCGGTTAACAAAACAAATAACCGAATAGTCGAACATCTATTGTTACCTTGGGGACCTCCCTGTTTCCCTGGCTTAGACCTACAATAGATGCGACAAAAATCGGATAGTTTTGTAATAAAAACAGTGTTCATGCTTACATGTTAGTGTTGTTTTTTGCACTTTTGACAAAGAGATGCCGACAACACTATACAAAATCTGAACAGATTTTAAAAGGAAGCCAGAATACAAAGTTGTGAATGAGCAAGCATGTCTTAAAACGTTTGTCGATTTAATTTTGTTTTAAAGAACAATATCACCGCATACGATTTCGAGTACAGATAATTGTAATTTAATAACGCCTTTCTGTATTCAAACATTTGTTGTCCATGAAATATACTTACAGAGGATACATGAAACTATTTCCTGCGTTCAGATTGAAATATGCCAGTAAACTAACCTGCTAATTAATATATGCATGTACGTTTGTGGTGTAAATGCGTTTAAAGGGCCTGTCACGTACTACCGATGTTCCTCGCCGGGTTAAACCGGAGCAAAACAAATTACAACGGCGAAAAAATCGGCATAGCTCCGGCGAGAAAGCACTTTAAAAAATCTAAATTGACCGTAGCAATACCGATGTAGTTCCGGCGTTCCCGTTGTGATACCGTTGTTCTACTCTACCGATGTAAGAGCCGATTTGCTACCGAAAACCACTTTTCTGTCACCTCAGTGTTACCGAGGCGCCGCCGATGTTATACCGAGGCGCCGCCGTTGTTCTACCTATGTACCACCGGTACCGTTGACCGGAGCTATAGCGGAGTGAGTGATACCGTTGCGCTGCCGATGTTACGGTAGTAAATCGTTAGTACATCGGCGGCGCATCAGTACTACTTCGGTGGTATTCGGTAGTACTACGGTATTATATCGGTACCAGTACGGTACACATTGAGGCCACAGGAGCGCTACCGATCCATTACGGGGGGATACCGGTGCTCTACCGACATTAACGAAGCCCAACCGGAGTACTGCCGATGTACTGCCGTTGTAGTTCCGTTGCTCGTTCCGCCAGCGCATGTTCAAAATTTCTACCGTCGCCAGCTGCCATTGCTAAATTTTTGGCCGATGTTCTGCCGATGTACTACCGTTCTAAGCGATGTGATACCGTACTAGTACCAATCCCCGAAAATCGCCAAATGTGTCCGGTAAAGCTCCGGCGACCCAAATCGGTTAGGTGCGACAGGCCCTTTAGATAGAACATTTGATTACCAAATTGACCGATTAACCAATTACTCGATCGGAAAGTTGTTCGAGTGACCGGTTTCCAAAATTTGACCGGTTTGACAACCGTACTCTTGTTGAACTACATACATGTACCACCGGTTGTTAGTTATCATCTGGTGATACTCGTGGAAATATTTTCCATTAAAATTCTAATTCTAATATGGGATTTACTAAGTAGTTATTTCTTTAAAATATAACTAAGATTTTAATCTCGATCTGGCTCAAATCGAAATCCTAGTAGACCTTGTAAGAGTGGTTGGCCGTCTGTCCCACTGTACTGATAAATACATCTGTTTTGGTTTATTTGCAGGACAACAGACTTCGTTTTGTCTTTTGATAGATCTCGACTGCCGACTGGACACAATTACAACACAAGATTTCCAAGAATGCAGGTTGATTCAGATAATGGTCGCCATCGTGATCTGATTGGGATGTTTAACGTCCTATCAACAGCTCTGGTCATTTACGGACGGCCTCCCCTGTGTGCAAGATACATGCGTGTAGTGTATGCGTGTGTGATTTGGGAGGCTGCGATATGTTCGTGTTTGTCTCCTTGTGATAGCGCGGAACTGATGCCGACTTTATAGTGCTACCTCACTAAAACATACTGCCGAAGACACCCAGCAGGACACTCAACCCGGTCACATTATACTGACAACGGGCGAACCAGTCGTCCCACTCCTAAATTGCTGAGCGTTATAAGCAAGAGTAGAAACTATCATTTTACAAACACTGGTATGTCTCGACCAGGGGACAGAACACAAAGCCTTCCTCACAGGGGCGAACGCTCAACTAAAGGCCAAAAGTGAGGCATTGCCGAAGGGAGACATTAGGAAGAAGAAAGTTGTTTAGAAATAAGAGAAAAGATAAGATTCCAAATTTAGTCGCCTCTTACGATCATGCAATGGGGGCAGCAGGTAAAATTCTTACGCCCTACCTTCAGGGAATCGTGTGATATGAAGGTCAATAATTATTATTGTGCTCGTCACTGTGTCTTGTGATTATGCTGCCACTACCCGGGTTCTCGGTGTGGGGACGTGACATTATTTGGATTTTACCTAGTTTTACATGGCGAGTGTAGCCGATGAAGCAGAAGACGCTTACCCTTCCGGAACACCTTGCCTTATTCCCCCTGCACTTGTTTTACAGTTTTGAGTTCGAGTTTGATTTTTTAAACACTTTTCGGTTTTCTCTTGTCGTTTCTTGTCTCTCACTGTCCATCGTACACTCATTTTCTATACATTTTCCAATGATTTTATAAGTTTTCACATCAAATGAGACAAACAGAATAATAAACGCAATAACTGTTTTATTATTTAACAAGCTAGCATATTACATCAATTTCATGATAATACTGAGGCCAAATTATATTGACTTCCTACATGCAATGGCAGTCAAATTGAGTCTTGATTATAATATTATGTAGGTACGAAATATATGGAAATTCAACCTAGACTTTGGAATAAGGGGACAAATTTGTGTTATGACCACAAATCTTACATCTGTGAACAAAATTTCCATATCTCCATTCCTACATAATAATTTACCTTATTTTCTCCCGCCTCTTATCTTTCCTAGCTATCAAGACCTTTCCCGCCTCTTAACCTACCTAGCTATCTAAGACCTCTCCCGCCTCTTATCCTACCTAGCTATCTAAGACCTCTCCCGCCTCTTATCCTACCTAGCTATCTAATACCGTCATAAAACACATCAACAAGACAAGTGCAATACTTAATATAACAAAATGTCCAGATAATTCATACATTTACTCAGGCTCAGATAATTCATTAATTTACTCAGGCTCAGATAATTCATACATTTACTCAGGCTCAGATAATTTATACATACTCAGGCTCAGATAATTTATACATACTCAGGCTCAGATAATTCATACATTTACTCAGGCTCAGCTAATTTATAAATACTCAGGCTCAGATAATTTATACATTTACTCAGGCTCAGATAATTAATACATACTCAGGCTCAGATAATTTATACATACTCAGGCTCAGATAATTTATACATTTACTCAAGCTCAGATAATTTATACATACTCAGGCTCAGATAATTTATACATACTCAGGCTCAGATAATTTATACATACTCAGGCTCAGGCTCAGATAATTTATACATACTCAGGCTCAGATAATTTATACATTTACTCAGGCTCAGATCATTTATGCATTTACTCAGGCTCAGATAATTCATACATTTACTCAGGCTCAGATAATTTATACATTTACTCAGGCTCAGATAATTTATACATTTACTCAGGCTCAGATA